ATAGTTGTCAAATATTTATGTATATTAGAAATATCTTTGTATCTATACTAAGTGCAAAAAAAATCCGAACACCTTGAAAACGTCAATATTTTTAAATGAAATTTTATACACACATTGGTTGTTGTATAAGTAAGAAATGATGAACATATGAAGACAATTGAAGAACTTTTACGTCATTTTAATTTTTATTGTCCTGATTTGAGGTCTAGCAAGATGGGGCTGTTCTGTAAAATTTTGACGTTTTTCGGTATTCGATTTCGACAATTTAAATTCCTTAAAAAGCCGTTAACATGCCCCCAGTGCGAAGACGTCTTCAGTATTCACAATTAGGTGATTTTGATAAGGGTCGAATAATAGGCATGCATGAAGCAATATTGTCCTTTAGAGGAATTGCACTTCGTGTTAACAGAGTTGTGTCTACAGTGACGGAATGTTGGTAGGCGTGAAGTCAAGACGGTAAAAGACACAGAGCTACAGGATCCGGGCGACCAAGAGCTACCACTGGGCGCCAAGACCATCGTCTGCGTTTGTTAGCTCTAAGAAACCGAAAGTCTACAACTCGAGCAATTTCCAACGAATGGTTTGCTGATGTTGTTAGACCTATAAACATGCGTTCCGTATACTACCGTATTAGATCTTTTGTCCTTAAAACTTACCACCCACACTTTGTTTTACCTTTAACACCTGCACATAAGCGTCAACGACTCGAATGGTGCAGGGAACGTAGTGGATGGGACAAGGAATGGAACACTGTTGCATTCAGTGACGAATTGCGCTTTTGTTTATCCATGCATGATGGCCGTATGTTAGTGAGAAGAAGACGTAGAGAAAGACGAAATCCTCAATTTGCTGTGGAAAGACATGTACACCGCACAGTAGGATTAATGGTGTGGGGGTGCATTGCTTATGGTAGTAGATCTACGTTAGTGTTTATTAGGGGGAGTACGACCTCTCCGCGATATGTGGAAGAAGTGGTAGAACCATATCTGCTTCACTTCTTAAGAACGCAACTTGGGCTTGGTTTTCAACAAGACAATGCGCGTCCACACATCGCTAGAAACACTTTTAACTTTTTTGAAGAGTATGAAGTGGAGTTATTGCCATGGCCTCCTAGATCTCCTAACCTCTCACCCATAGAACATGTACGGGATATGATAGGACGACGTTTAACTCATCTTCAGCGGCCACCACAAACTTTAAACGACCTGAAGCGTGAAGTATAAGCTACTCGAGATGAATTAAATCAGGATGACATTGATCGACTCATTAGGTCCATGCCAAGACGTGTAAACGAATGCCTCAATAACAGGGCTGCTCCAACCCATTACTAGCTTAGGTGTTAATATTTCCATTTGAATTTTTCATCATTTACTAGTAGTAAGTAGTAGACTGTAAACCCAAAAGATTTTCAAAAAATTATTATTCTATCCAAGTGTTCGGATTTTTTTTGCACTTAGTATATAAATACTAACCAAAATTTGGTTAATCATTCCCACAAGCAGTTTAATGACGACATCTCAATGAACCGTATATTAAAATGGTTTTAATGTTATACAAAAATATACTCCTATACTTGCAGTATACGAATCCGCTTTCAGTTTTTTCGCAAACGTTCAAATTTTCGCAAAAACAATAACGTTATATTACCACCACGGAGTAGTACTCCTCGTAGCTTAGTGGGTCAGCGGTTTTGTCGGCAAAGTAGTTATATTCGATCGTGGGTTCAATACCGAACTTGGCCCTTTCCTTTTTTTTTTCTTGCACTGGTAATGCGCTGTGACCACTTCTCGTTTGTGCTGTGATTAGTATTATCCATGTATCTAACGTCATCACAAATTTTTTATTGGTCAAATTAAGAACAATTCAGTCACCTCATTTTCTCGAAAATGTGACTTTATACATATAATAATGATAAAATAAGAATTATAATATTCAAAACATTTCGTTCGATTGTGGTTTAATTAATAATTTTAGCCCTCAGTTTTGAGAAAACAAACTCACTCAAATCGAACTAATTTCTACGTGACATTTTTTCGATGTATAAACATAAACATTCGAAGTTAAGTATGTACAGTGATAATAATTTACTCTTTTCTGTTGGTTATTTGCTTTGAATATATTTCATATTGTCCGTATGTCTGCAGACGGCACCTCCTTGGAATTTGTGCCCCGCGGTTTTTAATATATAAAGGTTATCAGAAAACAATTTTTTTAATAATTTTTCAAAGAAATGGAATTTGTTGGACTGCACTGCAAAGGGAGGGAAGTTCTGTCGAAGTAACCTTGGACCAAGTTTTTTTTATAGGAATTAGAGTTTTTTTTTATTAAAAGTCTAGTAATTTTAACATGTAATTATAACTTTAGCTGCAAATGGTTTCAAAATTCAGATACTATTTATTTGGACAAAACATTTTTCAATTCAATTTAGGTTTTTTGTGTTTTTGATCTTCCGAACTGCGCGAATCCATTTGGTAAAATGTTTTTGTGGAACTCTTTATCTGGTTCTTCTATTTTTTCAAATTTTATTAATGTTTGCGATATGTGATTTTTATTTCAAGGTCTTTAAATATAATATCTGTATAAAAACTTGATCTAGTTTCCATATCTTTTTGTTGACCTAAATAAAATAAGTACTTTGGGTGGTATTAATAAGTTTTTTAGGAGAGATTTTTAAGTGAATCTTGGTGGAATATTGGACCAGAATTTTACACGTTAAGACGCTTGGTCAATTCCTCATGTAATACGTAAGGAATTTACCTATTTTTTACTTGCCGATCGTAAGTTAAGTTTTATTATAATTCCGTAATTATTATTTTGTTATTTTGTTCTGTGCGATAAAGTGAAATGACATAGATTTATAATAGCTATTTATATAATAATCATTCATTCATTTTTATGAGTCAGCCTGTATAAGCCATTTAAAAACTTTTAATGCACTGATAAATCACAACTATAGGCTCTTCAATCTTGCACATTTTGGATATGATCTATTCGGCAATATTTTGAGATGATGACATCAATTTTTTGGAGAGGGGGATAAAGAGATATATTTTTGCAAGATTTCAAAGGATTTGGTTTTGCAGTTTCAATGTTAAACTGTAAAATATTGTTATACGATTTGAATTTTTTATGTAACTGTATCAACACTTAATGTGAGTCGAGTTATTAATTGTGTATATGGCGGAATGATCAAACCACATGAAAAAATATCTATTGTTTGGCGTGGCAGTGGACAAAACCCGTAAGCAATGCATTTTAAATACAATGGGAGAATTTGGAGCGGCGCTGTCAGTAAGTTAAAAAAATCTACCGATTTCTGAAGAGTTGATGAACGAATCTTACACAAATTATTATTAAGGTAAAGTCATTTCGCTTCTATTTATGTTAAAATTTGAGTTTTGTATATTAAAATTTCATAGTAAATCGGATTATTTCTTGAATTTTCGTGATTTTAAAATTGCGTTTTTTGTTTTTTTTTAGCACGTCATATTTCGAAAACTATTGAAAATTTTGTTTGTTTTCTAATTGTAATATAACCAAACCCTACGGATTCTAACAATGTAACGTTTACTGTCCTAGTGTTTTTAAGTTTCTACAAAAAAATATTTCTTTGTTACTTGCGCAAAACGTGTATTGAAATTTTCAACATTAAATTTTTTATTATTGAAAATTTAAAGTCCATCAGCGGCAGAGTTGTAGATTATGGTCTAAAATAATTTTTGCAATGAAGAAAAGTTTTTTACAACGACATTTGTCTTTGGGATCAAAATTTTTAAACTCGAACGATGTTTCGGATACGCCACTTTAATAACTGAGATATGTCGCTTTGTTTGAGGCACGATTTGATTTCAAATACACTTTTACTAATTAGAAGAAAATACTTCTTAATGACCGCCGCGAATTCTCTCATATAAAATGCATTGCAAGTCAAAGTGGAACGGTGATTAGTATTATTAAACCAATCTAGCAATACCGAGCGTTCTATTTGTGGACTTGGGTGAAGTTCATTTTTCACAATTAATATTGTTATTTTTTAAGTTTATCCTGTTTTATGCTGATTTTAAAGCGTCCCATTTTGGGTGGTCAACAATTGTACAGACATTTTTGGGATGTCTGAAAAGGATTAATGTTTTAATAATATTTTTTAAATCAGTTTTATAGTTCTATTTTAAAATTTATTAATATTTAGAGCTAGGCGTCCCTCGTCGAAGGCAGTTCAATCACCATTATTCAGTCACTAAATATAATACCTAAATAGCAATTTCTTTTCATATATAATTGTGATACAAAGAAAAGAAACAGAAATGCGTAGATTTAAATTGTCTAGATGTCAATTGTTTTTTTTTACTCTGCGTCAATAATATTTTCATTATGAAACGCATATGTGTTTCACAATAATGACATTTAATATTATTATAGGACGCAAAACAGTAATTTTTCCCTTGATTATGTTGGCAATGTTATTATGCGGGCAGTCCAAAGACTTCAATATATATATATTGAAGTCTTTGGGGCAGTCGAAAGGTGGTCGAAAGTGGAAACCAAATATCAGTGAACATTCTTAATGATAACTAGCCCAGTTGAATATTTCCATCTATTTGCTCCCTTTTGTGTTTAAATGATCACGAAAACGTTGATTTTGTACTAACCGACCGTCGAAAATCGCTAATCGAAAATAATTTTTTTAGAATATATTTTTAAAATTTATTTATCATGCAAAGTAAGAAAAATAGTATATTATACTCTTTACATAAGACGACTTGTGACACTCATTCTATTTGGCCACTCCTAGCTACGCTCGTCGTGGTGAAAACTCATTCGTGCCACAATAATCGCTTTATGAAATACGTGTAATAATGTACTATAGAAGTGCTGTTCAGTTGACTCAGGATATTATTGGTTTCATTAGCCATTGGTCAAAGTGTAAATGTGTTGTCATTGGCTGTTACGTTCGAAATTTTTTTTTATTTGTTTAATTAATTTTTAAAATTTTGTTTCAGTTAAAGGTGGTTGAAGTATGCCAAAGGTGTGCAAAACAGACCAAATCTCCAATAGTGTATCCTATGTGCTGTGTAAATGACGATGATGTATTTAACTGGTGTGAAAGGTATATTAATTATGGCAAAAAATCCAAATGAATTGTCAGGATCATAAACTAGTTTAAAGTTATTTATTACCATCTTATGATTTATGTTTGATTTAATTACTCCAGTCATTTAAGACTTAAGAATATTGTTTGTAAAAGCTTCGCTTATCTGTTACAACTGTTAAAAAGCAATTAACTACATACTTTAAACATTAAAAATTTAGAAGTGAAATATTTTACTTTCCAAAAATTATGTTTTAGCACAATGAAAAAATGTTTCACTTTGCAAATAAAAAGTGACTTACATTTTAATATGTGCCGAAGTTATTTGTTGCAAATAGTGTAGAAAATTACATGAAGATCGTAGCACAACGCAACACATATACATACGATGTAGAAATTTTTTAATTTGTGACAGATAAGTGAAACTTGAATTGATATTTAGGCAAATTATTAAGAAGGAAGTTTTTAAAATCTCTTTAAAATTTTGTGAGTATCCCAAAGAAAAAAAATCCGACTAAGTTACGTTTCAAAAACAGTATGATGTATATTTTACTTGGCTGCCTAATACTCCGCAGACTTTTTTGAAATAAGAAATCTTGTTGTTCGATTTTGTAGCTTAACAAAGTGGAATAAACAATGAAAGTCGGCGCAATAATGATAAAAATGGCTGTGATTTCATAATTTAATGAAAATTATACGAAATATTAAGATATATATGTAACTTGTAGGTATGTTTTTTATATTTTATCTTTATCTACTATTTATTTATTTTTTGTAAATATTTTATTAAAAAACTTTTATATTTAGATGTATATGTACTTGTGTTTTATTGTTTTACTTCCAGACAGTGAGGTATTGCTATTTGCTAATTCCATGTTTCCGTAACGTTTCATAGTTCCTAAAATGTGAAAAAGTAGTCTTTTTTTATTAGATAAGATTTTCTCGAAAGTGTGGGAATACGCACGTCTTTGTTTAATAATGATTAAATAAGAATAATTATAATAATATCATGAACATTTTGGTCGACTGTGGCTTACTTAATTAATAATTTTATTCTTCTGTGTTGAGGCGACTAGCTCATTCAAATCAAACTAATTTCTACGTGGCATTTTTCCGATGTATACACATAAATAATTCAAGTGGTTTTATTATTGTTGAAAGGCTATGCTAAGCCTCCCCTAGAGAAATTTTTGCCTCCTCCAGACTTAGTCAAGTTATAATTAACCAAATTATAAATCAATTGAAAACCAAAATAATGCAATGTATTATTTAATAAGCGGAAGTCGAAGCATCAGAAAGTCTAGACCATCAGCACTGTGAGTCGATTATTGCAATTCGTAGAAAATGTATTTTAGTTTAGTTTCTACATTTCACTCTCACGTGTACAATTACCATAAGCGTTATCTTTATTTGTCTTATGAGTACTTAAAAATGATTTTTCTACCGCCCACGTTTTTTGGTTTTCTAATAGAGCTATTAACGCACGCAAATGACGTCACAGCAGTTCGTTAATAGCGGAAAGGCGTTCTTTAATAGATCTGGTGTAATTTACATCGGTAAGATTAGTAGCCATGACGAGAAATGTCAGGCGAATGTCAGTGGCAAATGTAAACTTAAAATTTCCCATATTTCCGGACGCGTAACTTCTTCACAAGACATTCTAACCAATTTTAAATTACAAAAACTCGAATTGATTCGAATTACAGTTGTTGTTGTGAAAATTCGAACCTCAAATATTTCGTGGTTAGTGTCAGACCAACCCATCACCAACCACGACGAAAGTCCCCAGATTAAAAAAAATTGGTCTAAAGAGTTTAGACAGTACTTCCCTCGCTGTCGGAAACTTGACGACTGCATGGCTATTGTGTTTTTTTCTCATTACATTTTTGTAGTGGGAATTTAAAAAAAATTGCGATGACGTCATCAACATTTTTGCAAGGACACGTATATCAGTTGGGATAGATGTAGTGTAATACTAAGAATAAAATTATTGTATTCCCAAATTTTCAGGAAAATGAATTGGGTCGTTTTGAATATTGATTTTTTATAATCAATAAAATAACGAAACAATTTACTCACGTATACGGCAACTGAAAATCGTTTATGTATAAACATTCTTAATTTAAGATGACAAGCGTAACAGCATACGTGAGAGTCAAACAAGAAACTGTAAACAAAACGACCATCGGTTTTATTGCTTCGACTTCCGCTTATTATATAAAACATTGGGTTTTATTTTAATTCTTGACGGTGAAATTCACAATTGGTTGATTATAAACATGTCTATTTCACATTCGCGGAACCAAGTGATCGCATAAAACAAATGCAGGTCTGTAATGTTAAAGTCGATGTAAATAAGCGTGCTACCCTTATGTTTCAACCGAGTTTTTCCTTTAACAAATTTTGTGTCTACCAAATTGGGTTGGTTGAGGTGTAATACTAATAATAAGTGTTGCCTTTAATTTAATCAATAAAATAAATTGACTTCATTAATTTTTTTGAACCACCTCTTAAGAAAATCTAAAAAATATGAATGGAATGATAAATCACAAGTACAAACTCATCATATTTTTTGCATTTTAGATAGGATTTATTCAGCAAAATTTAAGGGTGACGTCATCAATTTTTTTAGGAGGGATGAACAAATACATTTTGAACAAAAGTTTACCATGCTTATAATAACTTTAAAATATTCCCAAGATTTCAAAGCATTCGGTTTTGTAATTCCTGATTAAATCGATAAAATAAATTCACGCCTTCATTAATTTTTTTGAGTCACCCTGCATATGCAAATCCAAAAATATGAATGGAATGATAAATCACAAGTACAGACTCATCATATTTTGTACATTTTAGATACGATTTATTCGGCAAACTTTTGAGCTGACGTCATCAGTTTTTTGTAGAAGATAACCAAATATATTTTGACTAAAAATTTATTATGCTCTTTATAATCTTAAAACATCTGCAAGATTTCAAAGCATTCGGTTTTGTAGTTCCTGATTAAATCAATAAAATAAATTTACGCATTCATTAATTTTTTTGAGTCACCCTGTATATGCAAATCGAAAAAATTTGAATGGTATGATAAATCACAAGAAGAGACTCATCATATTTTGTACATTTTAGATAGGATTTATTCAGCAAAATTTTGTGGTGACGTCATAAATTTTTTAGGGGGGACGACCAAATACATTTTGATTAAAAATTTACCATGCTTATGATAATTTTATAATATCTTCAAGATTTCGAAGCATTCGGTTTTGTAGTTCCTGAGTAAATCAGTAAAATAAATTTACGCATTCATTAATTTTTTTGAGTCACTCTGTATATGCAAATCCAAAAAATATGAATGGAGTGATAAATGACAAGTACAGGCTCATCATATTTTGTACATTTTAGATATGATTTATTCGGCAAACTTTCGAGCTGACGTCATCAAGTTTTTGGAGGGGATAAGCAAATATATTTTGACTAAACATTTATTATGCTCTTTATGACTTTAAAACATCTGCAAGATTTCAGAGCATTCGGTTTTGTAGTTCCTGATTAAATCAATAAAATATATTTACGCATTCATTAATTTTTTTGAGTCACCCTGTATATGCAAATCCAAAAAATATGAATGGAGTGATAGATCACAAGTACAGACTCATCATATTTTGTACATTTTAGATATGATTTATTCCACGAACTTTTGAGCTGACGTCATCAAGTTTTTGGAGGGGATAAGCAAATATTTTTTGACTAAAGATTTATGATGCTCTTTATAGCCTTAAAACATCTGCAACATTTCAAAGCATTCTGGTTAGCAGATTAAGAATTAAATTTTTTTTTCCAAAAATCTGGACGTTTCGGGTGAAAAGTCGATTCAGAGTTGTAAACTACATGTGTAGGACTATGTTATTTTATACAATTGAAAACCCATTTACTATGTACAATTTTGAAGTGACGTCATCGCATTAGTGGTGGGGATGATTAGACAAATTTTGGTTAGCGTTTTACCATCTACATGATATTCTTAATATAAGTACAAAATTTCACAACAATCGGTCGAGTACTTTCGGAGATTATCTGTCTAATAAAAATCCGGGACGGCAGACGGACAGACGGACAGACGGACAGACGGACAGACGGACAGACGGACAGACGGACAGACGGACGGACAAACGGACAGACGGACAGACAGACGGAAATGGAAGACCTATTTCTTCGTCTTCTAGGGGTCATGAAAGATCGAGAAAACGTAAAAGTAGAGAGTCGGCCGACGGACTCGATTCCAATACTTCCTTTGCTTACGCTCGGGAAGTAAAAATGCAAATTTCAATTAAATTTTGGGAAAAAACATGTGCGCTAGAAAAAATAGTATAAATAACTCGTTCATAAGGCCATTGAGGCACTCATCCTTTATATAACTCGCGGCTTCGCCGCTCGTTCTATAAACTTGGATTCGTGCCTCAATATTTGCCTTATGAAACTCGTTCTTTAATACACTATTTCAGCTTAGTCATGATTCAAAACGATTCGCTTAAATTTATTTTTGTCCGAAATTATGATATACATTTGTAATTTTATTTAATACCACTATTGTTCGGTACGGGCCTGACTCAGACCAGCCGGGCAAGCCCGGTCCTGCCCGAGGGTAAGCACCCCACCACACCACCCACCGGACGGAGGGCCCTTTCTCCCGATTCATTCGACAACAACATTCAAGAACGACAAGAATCACCGAACGCGAAGGCGGTACGGGCGCGATGCCCTCTAATACATACAACTTGTGATATATATAAATATATAATGTAATATAAGTGTTTAAACAATCGAGTATTATTACGGTCCTTCGAAGAACGGCACGACGCCACATTTTGGTCCGTTAGAGCCGGATATTCAGCGAACACGAGTGCACGCGACGTCACCACGTGGTCCATCTATAACAACGCCAAGCAGTAAGTCCCAATTTCCTTTCTTTTCATTTATCCAGCAACGTTGATTTGTGTCAAGTTTGTCTGGAGCCAGCACGTGGAGTGATTTATCTACAACTCCTAATAAGTTTAATATTTCATTTATTATATTACTAGCTGACCCGGTGAACTTCGTTTCACCTACAATTTAATTTTGAATCTGCAAAACCGAATGCTTTGAAAACTTGCAGATGTTTTAAACATATGATAAGCTTAATAAATTTTTGTTCAAAATATTTTTACTTATCCTCTCCAAAAAATTGATGACGTCAGCCCAAAATTTGCCAAATGAATCCTATCTAAAATGTCCAAAATAGGATGAGTCTATACTTGTGATTTATTATTCCATTCATATTTTTTAGATTTGCTCAAAAAAATTAATGAATGGGTGAATTAATTTTATTGATTTAATCAGGAATTGCAAAACCGAACGTTCTGAAATCTTGGAGATGCTTTATTGATATCATAAGCATGGTAATTTTTTGATTAAAATGTATTTGTTCATTCTCCCTAAAAAATTGATGACGTCACCGGAAAATTTTGCTGAATAAATCCTATCTGAAATGTGTAAAATATGATGAGTTTTTACTTGTGATTTATCACTGCATTAATATTTTTTTAGTTTTGCTTAAACGGGGTGTCCCAAAACATTTAATCACTGGGTCAATTTATTTTATTGACTGAATCAAGAATTGCAAAACTGAAAATTTTGAAATATTGCAGACGTTTTGAAGTTACTGTAAGCATGGTAGCTTTTCAAAATATATCTGTTTATCAAGCCCAAAAACTTGATGACGTCATCTCAAAATTTTGCCGAATAAACCCTATCTAAAATGTGCAAAATATCATCA